AGAGGGTTCAAACCATAGGTTAAGTGGTTCGAGCCACTTCGACCCTAATCTAATTTCATCGAGCCATATTAAGATTGGTCCGAACCATTTGGTTCGGATTACACCCAATTCAACATTTATATAGTATATAGATGCATTTTTGAGTCTGAGAGAGTATTACACGGAGGAGATTCGCCGTATCCACGAGTTTGTAGTACTGCTACTGGTGGATGTAGACCGTTGTATCCTGGGAGATAGACGCCACTGAGTCCGTTAGCATCATAGTGGGGCGAATCTGTCTTAAGGACATAGTATCGAATACTAGCCTCGGTCCAGGTTCATTCCTTGCATATTATTATTATTTTATTGTTTTATTTTGCATATTTAATTAAATATAGAGTTGCATATTTAATTAATGATTTATTAGCATATTGTTAATTATCTTATGACATATTAGTATAAGGGTTGTTATATCTTAAAAGTCACATTAAGCATATATTTTTCCAACACTTTCTTCCTTTCTTCTCAACCAAACAAAATGAGGAAAAACTGGAAAAGTCATCCTTATTCCTTGCCCTAAGGACACTTTCTCCACCCCTCCTCTCTTTCCTTCCAATTTTTAATTTCTTGTACAAAGTTGAGCATAAAGGTATCTATGAAATGAAAAATAAAAAATTGAGCATAAAGGTATGAAGAACTAGAACATAAGTTTACACTCCAACATCTGTACAATAATAACTAAAATAAATTCCCAAGTAGTCTTTCTCCTAGTAAATTTGTGAGTTTCCACAAAAAAAATTAAACCCGTAAGAGCATTTTCACAGTCATGTTTTAAGTGTATGAAATATTAATAAAAATTAGCCACATCAAATGCATAGGAGTAATTATAACGACAAGAAATAAGAAAAAATAAATAAATCAAGAACAAAACTGCACAACAATTGGAACAACCAACTGAGATAAGAGGAGAAAAAAATATCAAACTAAAGTTTCAATCACAAGAACTCTGCAACTGATCAGTTACATGCATGGAATAAATGATATCGATCAAATGCTATTTTTAGTCTCTTTCTGAAGCATCAAGAAAGTAGGTTTTTGCAGAGAGTTGGAACACGGTCTCATAAGTCTTAGTCTTACTTCTCCGTCTATAAAGGAAATAAGACTTCCATATGTAAGTTGAACTCAGAGTGAGCCCTTTTTCCAAGTAAGCGAACCAGCAGAAACATAAGGAGACGGGGAATGGGCGTTTTAGGGCGGGTAGGAAGTCGGTAAGCCGAGCCCTCCTGCCGAAAACTTTCTTTCTTGTGGATGATGAGCTTGTCTGCTTGTAAGGCCTTAGTTTGAAGGATTTTTCGATTCTGGGGGCTTTGGTTGTAGATAAATTAAAATTGTAGAGGGGGACATTTCATCGGTGTAGAGGACTCACAATATTTGTACACGAAGGAGGCTACCGTGCTCCTATTAAACAAAGAGGTTTACATGCGCCGTGTCAACATATATGTGCAGATTTTCCACCAAAAGGAAATTATACGGGTTATAGGACTCGGAGCATGTGGTGTAAGCTTAGTAAATTGACACGTAAGCTTATTTTTTCTTATTTGATAAGTTTTATATCTCATTATTTATTTATTATTTTATTTTAAAAATTTAACAAAAAAATTTAATTCTAATTTTATAATTTTTTTGGCTTTTTTTCAACAGATATATTCTCAACAGCTATATTTCAATTTCTATATAAACTCCTCAGTCTATCTTTTTTCAATTATCAAGTCCATTTCTTTGCATTCCCAAGTCCATTCTCTATTCTCTAGTCTCTAGTCTTCATCTTTCAAGGATTTGTTGCTAATACGTGATTTTTTGTTGATCCAAACCCGTTATTGGATCTTCCCCAATGTCAAACCATGTTTTGTATAATATTTCATCTTCCCCATTGTCAAACCATGTTAGGTTTGAGATGGTTGGGATTGAGATGCTTGGAATTAGAAATGAGGTTGGAATTGGGAATGTGGTAGGTATGGGAAATAAGAGTATTGGGATTGAAATGGATTTTCGGATTGAAAAATTTTGAAGAATCCAAATTATAATTGGATTGCGGTGATAATTCGGAATTATGAGATTGGTTGAGATGGGGGCGAAAGTGTAATGTTTTTAACTTTATATATATATATATGTGTGTGTGTGTGTTAAAGTTAAATAAAATTTTATTCACCTGTGGGGCCCACATGATTTATAAGCCAATATAATGACTTATTTCTTCTTCTCTGCGTATCTCACTCTCTCTCGTCCAGTAGCTCTCTTTTTTTTCTTTTTTTTTTCTTCAAAGCTTCAAGGCTTAATTTCTCTCTCATCTCTTATCGGATTTAGGTGCCGTTTGAGGCAAAATGAAGCCCACGACGAGCTCTACGCATCCATACGAACAATTCCAGATTTGGTGCCCTTCTTGGAGTTCGAAATTCAAGACCCATTTTAAGGGTTTTGTGCAATCTTGAGGTAGGGGCCCTTAACTCATGATGTTCTTGCTCTTTTGTGAATTATACCTCCTAAATTGTTGAAAAGCATGCTTATTTTTTAATTAATTGTATTAAAGATGATGTAAGTGTTATTTGTGAGGTTATGATTAAATGTGTTACTTGAGTTGTATGAGAACATGTTTATTTGACTAATTTCCTTGTCTGATAAATTGATTTACCATGCTTATATTGTTGTAAAACTTGCTAGAATGATATGGGATGGCATGTATAATTTCCCTAGAGTACTTATAATGTATGCACAATTGTATAATGTGAAAGCCTTCACTTCCATGGCATTAAGAACATGATGTACATGTATACCATGAGACATGATTGGGAAGATTGTTTTTGAAATGAAAATAGGGAGTTTTGGGGAAAAGTATTTTGATGAAAGTGTTTTTGGAAAACCCAGTCGCCGCGGGGGTACCAAAGGGCCGGAGTGTTAATATAGCCTAGAGGGGATTAGGGAGTCGCCCTAGCATGGTTGAGCTAGCTGGGCCCCATAATGACGCCGCGGAGTTACCAAGGGTCAGGGACACTAGCCAATCCTCCTCTCGTGTGGCTGCGGGGTCACCAAAGGGCGGGTTATATTAACAGTTTGAAAGTGATGGATTTTAAATGTGAAAACGGGGAGCGACATCGGCATGCATTAGCATTTCATGGCATTGCATTGTTTGTACTTGAGTTTGATTGGAATGTTGTATTATCCCGATATTGTATGATCCCCATTCCCATTGACCTATTATATGTTTGGATTCACAGGGACACAAGATGTGTGTCTTAAGTGTCACCTACTGAGCATATAGCTCACCCTGCATACTTATTATTTTTTTCAGGTCATGGCAAAGAAACGGCGGATGACAATCCTCCGCAAACTTGAAAGTTGTTAGAAGGTTGTTTGCTATTTTGTATTTTGACCATTCTATGTATATTCGTAGTTGCGGAAATGTAACTAAGTTAGTATATATGGCCTTGTAACTAAAGAACGAACTTATCTTTTGTTTGATGTAAATGAAACTAGTGGAATTATGGTATATGTTTCCATGCAATTGTATCATGTAACGTTGTAAGACAGGGACTTTAAATATTAATCTTGTATTTTGGGACTGTAATTATGATAATTTAGATTAATTGGTGTGTGGATGTTCTACCATGAGAGGAACTATGTTGAGGTGTGATGAATGGGATGCTAGAGTATATTTTTTTGTTTTGTGTATTGGAACAGGTTGTTAAATGACCACTTTTAGGGGAGGTCATGCCGAAATTTTTGTATAAATGGTTTTAGTTTAGGGTCGTTACAGAAAGAATGGAGGTAAAAGATCTATGGAAATGAATATTAAAAAAATATTGAGAGAGACAATTATTAAAGATGAGAATTATTGAAGATGAATTAGTATTTATAAGATGTAATTTCTTTTATATAAATAAAATAGCATTTTAATGAATAAAAGAATTGTTTTAAAAGAGCTGTTTCAAAACATATCAATATGAAGAGATAGAATGAGCAAATAAAATATTAAATAAAGGGATAGATCATATCCAAACACTTCTCTCTCTGTGGTGAAAAGCATAGAGAAGACTCTGGGAGGCACAAAAATAGTACTATACTTTATGCGCATACCACCCCTCTCTCTGTCTCCTTTTCAAACTTTTTCTCTATTAATTGTCGTGCACCATATGCTCTTAGTTTTCGAGTTTCAGGAGGGGGTAAACTTGCTTATTCATTTGTTGACTTGAATGTACACCTGGACTTGATTCATATTCATAATGGAGTATGAGCTGGGCTCTTGTTTTCATTCTTTACAGTTACAGATAAGATTTTGACCAAATTCATCTCCGTCCGTCTGTTGCATAGTTTCAAAGCCGTACTGGACATCCAAAAAAAAACATAGGGCTAGCCCAATGCACCATGCTCACGCCACATCGAGAGCAAGGTCTGGGGACTGTTAGATTGTTTAAGTGGTTGACTATTCAAGCAAAATAATTATAATTTATTCAACTTAAATTGAAGTTTCTGTTAATCGTAGAAGTGTCCTTCAAAGTAATCTGCTTCATTTTCTAGTGAATCATGCATTGGCGACGAGCATTCAGGTGTAGGCACTCACTCATGGTAGTTTAGGTAAAATATATGTTTCAGTGCATTGCTCGTAAATCTTGACGGTGAGAACATAATGGACTGCTTTCTTCAGGATCTTGCAAATGCAGGAGCCACGAAAAGGCCGACGTGCTGTGTTCTGGTGCTAACCAAGCCTACCAAGGGGGAATTAGGCCACGAGGAACAAGAAAAACTGAAGGCAGATTATACCCAAGTTGTATCAGATGTGTACGAACTTGCTTCCTCTATGTTCTGAAGGACAACAAAAACTAAGATATATGTGCCTTTTTTCTAAATGATGTACTTTGTTTCGGTTTGAGATGCCATGTGGTTATTTATATATTACTAAATTTGATATTGGACATAATTTAGCAGTCAGAAGACAACCTTTTTGGGTTGTGTTATGCCAAACCACCTGAGACCACTAACATATGTCATTCACTGCACCAATATTGATAGCATCAGGAAGAGTAGTGATACATGGCAACTATCGAAACACCCTCCTCATTTATACTTTCTTTTTTTCCCGGGTACGTGACCCTCCTTGTTTATACTTACAGGACTCGTAAAGTTACAACGTTTAGTTTTAAAACTTCAAAAGGGCATTAGAGAACTACAAGTTATATCTGGAGAGAACATCAAGGCGTGTGATCTCTCTGTGTGTGTCTGAAGTGAGAAGGGATGGCATGATGGTGGCCGCGGTGACAACGACGACGACAACAATACTTCAACAGGATGATGTACAAATACCAACATGCTGCAAAAAATTCTCTAGCATTGGAATCATTTTTGGGATGACAGAGTCCTGAACAAAAAGACACCTAAACCACCAACCGCCAAAGTTACAATTAAAGGAATGCCAATAGATTCAACATCTGCTGTTCTGCTTGTCCTGTCTGTTCTTCCTTGCCGAGACCTCTCTCCCCAGCACTCATGCAAAAGATTGCTAAGACTGTCCAACTGATGCATGATTTGACGCTGTCCCCTTGCGACAAGCAACACCTGATTGGAAAATGTTTCCAAACAGATTAGAAACAAGATGCACAGGAATTGAAAAGAGTTTTAAGTTTATAATTGGACATATATGCTTAAAAATTAAACCACTTTCTGGAAACCACAACAGAAGTATACTCTTACACGAGAGAATATACGAAATTTAAAGAAAAGCCACATCTATGAGTCCAGTTAAATAAGACTCAACCCAAATGAAATTGCAATCACACAAATCCCAAATGTCCAACTAACAAATCTAGTCATAGTTTTCCAGGCCAAAAGACAAACAGAACACACCAACCCCAGCATTTGACCTTTGAAGCCCCCTCTAGTATCATTACTTTTCTGATCAATGATGTATGACAACATTACTGCCTTTAACTATTCACTTCTCTTGGGGTGAGAAAGAACGTTCTTCTTTACTTTTTAGTTCTACGGTAAGATATGCAACATAATGTCAAAGGTTAGGTTTATCTCCATACTTTCCTTCATAGGCTCACAGCCCCACAAATAGGTAGGACTAGATCTGGGAGTGGGTGATGGTTTTACCATAAGAATTTTAAAGAAGTGAAAGAAAAAGGTAAACTGATTTATATAAAAACACTTTTGCAATTCATATTGCATCCCCATTTACACGTATTTGAATACAAGTCTATACAAGTAAAAATAAATAAATTAAGAAACAGGAAATAAGAATGTGAGCCCAAAAGGATGTTTTGGTTAGAGCCTTAGAGGTAAAACAGAACACCTTTTATGTCCATATATCCGTTCTTTTATATAAACCAGGAAAATATGATTTCATTCTTACGTTTGCAGCAGTTCTTCCAAGCGAAGAGGGAAAGTTTGGGCCTCTTGGTTCAGTTTTCAGAGAACTGGAAAACAAAAAATAATTTGAAAATTATTTTGGTTGGCAATTTTCTCAAAACTGTTTAATGAAAAGTGCATTAAAAATGCCTCTTTTGTAGTTCTCTAAAACTGTTTAATGTTTTCGAAGTTCTTGGAAACTGTATTCTTATAACTGAACCATACAAAACCAAAGCTTCTGCTCTTCAGTTACTTCTGACATAGATAAGTCTGACCCTATTGTTTCATTACTTCATAAGGTCATTTTACATTTTTCCTTCTCACCACTTCGTTATAGGTCCTTCGCTAGAAAAACCCATGATAAACATTCCATCCCCAAATCCAGAAGTGAAACATTGTTAGTTGAAGGTAGGTTAATTCTAGCGCAAAGGTACTACTACATTTTATACATCTAGGATTTTTTTTTTCTCTTCCGTTTTTAATAAAACTTTTTTTTTTTTTTCAAGAAGTTTATGATAATTCTCATTTCTATAATTTATCCCCACAGTTCTTCTGTTGCGTTATATTATAAATATTATAACACTAGTGACATTTTTAACTATTTTCTTGCCATTGATGAAAATGAGAGTAGTGGTCATACCTCTTCCATCAGTTGAGACTCCTTAGCTAATTGGGAAGAAGATGAGGAATTGGGTAATAGAGAACCGGTCAACGATCCATTGCCTAAGCCGGCCATGAAATGTGAAGTGGGCGCAGAGCCATTGCAGGCTTCAGCCTGCAAAGCCAAGTTTTGCTGGCTAACAGAAACTTTTCTGGTAGAGAACTTTGAATTTAGTTCTTCAATGCGAGATGTAAACTCGTCCATCCTCTCATTCAATGTGGAAATTTGTTCTGACAGTTGAGTAATGACTCCCTGAAACAATCAAGAAAACAAGATGACAAGTAAAAGAGATGCTCTATTCGGTTGACAAATGATGGAAAGAAACTAAAAAGGGAAGGGAATAAAAGATGTTTATAGGAAACACATTTTAAGAGGCAATTATGGGGTGGAATATGTTGGTAATGTGGTGCGGTGATGACACTTCCTACATACTAGTGAAAACTTATTCCTGCCTCCTTTTCTCATCATTTCATGTCTGTTGGTAACCACATAATGGAAAAAGTAAGGTTCCGTGTTTCCTTTGTCTTGGCGACCATGCTGAAAAATTTTTTTTTTTTTTTTGATAAGTAAAATGCTGAAAGATGGTATCATCTGCATGGTGGATGATGGCTTTTTTTTTGTCAAGCCAAGTCAGGGACCTCACTCGGGACCCCATAATCCAATGATCCATCGACCAGAATCAAAGAGAAAGACAGACACTGGCCCTTGTTTAAGCACAACTCTTTTCCTCGTCCAGAACATTTGCTTGTGGCCCTATGTTTTCCTTGGGGACTTTTTGATAGGTAAAGTAACAGTAAAAGTGGTCAAAGGAAACACGAGCACAACTGAAACAAAACAACTAAAATCCTAAGAGGTCCATATTTTCTACAAAATCCAAAAAAGAGTCGGTGAAGGAAACCTGAGTCAAGAAAACAACAATCTGAGAAGTAGATGCTTCAAGTTAAAAGTAGGCAACCCCACCGTCTTATGAAGAGCACTACAATAACCATCATAATAAACCAACTTCTTGAGGCAGATAAACGGATTAAGTCACCTGGTTTGCAATCGTTGCTGGTGAATCTGGAGCTCTTCCATCAAATCGTCTATTATTAACAGCAAGTTTTGTCAACTTGGAAAGGTTCTTGTCTCGTTGTGTTGAAAATGAGTGTGATAAACCACTGGTCAATATAACAACAACATGAACGTATTACAGCAAATAACAATATTGAACTCCAAAGATTTATGTCAAACCAGAGATCCACCTAAATTAGCAAAAACTGGTACTCATTTTGAAGAATTTGAAAGGATATAAAATTCATGCATTTCCGAACGACATTAAACCAAAAAATTATTAAACACTTCATCAGTCATGACATCGCAATCCAGCTTTGCTTGCATTCTTCACTAGCACTCACTGGATGAATCATTCATTCTGCTTTAAAACAAAAGATTGAGGCCAAAAACTCATGGATGGGGAACAGAAATACCGGTTGAGATACTTGATCCTTCTATCTGCCGAGGCCCGAGATAGTGCTTCTTTAGGGCTTGAAACCATATCATCGTCTATGCTGAGCTTTGATTTTAGATCATCTGGCAGTGTCTGTGGATTGATTCAATCAGGAAAAAACATAAGCCACAAAAACGCATTGCCAGCCAAAAGAATCATACCATAACGTCATTCACAAGTTTCTCCAGTTGAATTTGCTCTATGTAAGTGCGAGGAACAAATGAACCATTCAAGCCCAGCTCCTCTGCAATATATTTGACATACAAACGGTCTCTTCCTTGCACCTTTATATCAAGATAAGCAAAAAGTTGAACAGCAATTAGCTTTGAGGAGTTCGCTAGAAAGTTAACACTGAAAGTTTCAATAGGTAAGTGATGATAATTTAGGCACAAGAATGTATAATGAAAATGACTTGTTTAAAAAGAGTCCAAAAGTCATTTTCCAGTCTTGCAAGCTATTTTAATTTTCTCCTATAATTTATATTACACGCAATCATATGCCTAGAATTGCAGGAAACATTTTCCAGAAAAGTTTTATGCCAAACAAGAATAATGAACTATTTATTTATTCAGTTCAAAATCTTCTAAGAATTTTTTCTGACATGGCTTGACCTATTTTGGTGGATAATTCCCTGAGAAGCTTGGGGAAAATTTTATTATAATCCTTCAGTCATTTATATGTATGGCAACTGGCGGTTTTTGCCCCATTTGCTGTAAGCACAAATTTTCCCATTGTCTGACCCTGATCTAGGACAGGCTGGACAAATTTTTTAGAAGGTGCAAGGTGAGGTGTAGCCTTCGTTTGAACCAGCATATTTGAGGATTCGATAAATTCTTTTTGACAAATTCATAGTACACACAATTGCATGGGATAATTAGCATTACCATGTCCCTGAATATAAATGCACCTAACATGTTGGCCAGGTGAAATAAAGACCTGATTTATGTTAACTCTTTTAGAATTTTGCCACTTAAACAGTAATATTTTGTAAAATAATTGATCAACACATTCAAATGATGTTTTTTTCTTTTGGAAAGTCACATTCGAATGATGTTGTTTCAAAATGACAATACCATTGTTTTAGTTTACTGCATCAAAATTGGGTTGAAATATTTCTTGGTAGGTAAGACAGTAAAACTGGATTCAAGTTAAGTTGCTTGGTATTGGCATTCAGCTTTGTTCCAAGCCTTTCCTAAACCAAAGCAGGCCATTTAGTAGAACACACAACCCTCCCCCATTTAACAAGCCTGCCCCACAGTTCTGTATTCAATGAGTTCAAAAGACAGGCCTAAATTCAGGACGGAAAAAAAAAAAAAAAAAGAGGCCTCCTAACCGCATCTGATAATAGCGCCAGTAAAGTACAGACATGCTTGTACATCTTCAAAAGTTCCCGAACTAGATTGACCAGAAAGTGAACTTAAGATGACACTGTCCAGCCCCTGTTAACCCACACAGAAAAGTAAAGTTCTAATGAAAATCAATTGAAACATGTTGATCTTTTTTCAGAAAGGTATGCAGTTCGATTTATTAATACGGAATGGAAATTGAAACCAAATGGATAGTTGGAAAAGGAAAAAAATACTAAAAGACCTCATAATTTTAAAACAGAACTTCTAAGGAGAACTATGTCTATCCAAAACTCAGGATATTTCTTCCTCCCAAAACAAGTAGGTCACGAAAACCCAATCTTAGAAATAATAATAATAATAATAAAATTAAAAAATACTGTTATTATCAATCCAACTAATTTTTGTATACAGAACCAGAAGCCCATGTGAAACCACAGCAAGAATGCACCACCTATTGTGTGGTAGACCAACACCTCTCCATCTGTAAAAAGTTTAAAGAGTAAAGACCAATATGTCAATGGTAGGCCATAAGATCTAACAAGCTTACTGAGCTAAGCTTAGTGAGATGGAGCTCAACTCATCAGATATTACTGAAATCCTTGCTGGCATTCCATTTATTTACCCATTGAGAAAACTTCATACACTAAATGGGTTGATCATGAGCTGTCCAAAAGTAGCCTGATTAGCTTGACCTCCGTGGCTAGAATATTAAAAATTACCTATGGTCCATGGATTTATTATAATGATGGGCCTCACCCTTCCAAACTGTGATTGTAAGATCATTCATGTGGTTTTTGTAAGGTAGTTCCTAGGCAATAGTCAAAAGGAATAGTTTACAGAAAGGAAGGCATCGGGAAAGTGTACGAGTGTGCATGCAGATGGCATAAAAGAGGTAATGCATTATTGATCACGATTATGATAGTAAAGAGGTAAAGCAGTTTTGATAACAATCTTTTTGAAACAGATGAGACAGCATGAGATTTCGCCGGTGAGTGTGACATAAGTTTTGAGCTAATTTGGCGAAAACCTGAACCAAGTTGATCAATTAAGTTTTTAACTCCATTTGAGCAACTTGAAACAAACCATAACATCAGTGCTCCTCAGGTTTTCTTTCTAAAAGAAGAAAATTTGTGCACAACTAATTTTTTTGCTATCAATATATATCCAAAAATAATACATACTGATTCGGATTAAGCCATTATTGAGTTCTAAGTATAATCAACAGATGCCAACTGTTGATCGACAAGTTTAACAATTCATATCTACATTATAGAAGTTTAGGACTGTTCCTCATGCAATAAACTTTAGGGATTCAAACACATTTACCCCTAAAGAAACGCTCACTCTATATCAAATGTTGAAACTATCTTAGTAAAAAGTCGATATCCCATTGGACCCATCATTTTAACTTAACTTTAGGGACATATGTTGACTTCTTCTGTCATCATTTCCCTTTTTTTCCTTTTTGTAAATACAACACATGCGCACACACCCACAATTGCCGCTAATGGAGAGTGGAGACTTGCACCCTCAACCTTCCCCTTGGAAAGTAGAGGAGATACCGAAGAAAGATTGGTACTCTTACACTGCCAGGCAAGCCCTCTAGAGCACTAAGGTCAATAGCGGGTCTTTTTTTAAAAAACAATGTCAAACTGGTTTCATGGACTCTGAAGTTTCGCTTAGTGGCATATAAAGAAGCAAGATGAATCAAGAGCGAGCAATCAACTCAAAGGTGATGTACTTACTACTCGTAAGATGATACACACTAGCTAACAATCCGACTAGTGCGGAGAGCCAGTTGATACGCGGACTTCACAATTAAACTACCGTCTTTTGTATAAAGCCAAGACTTGACTTTTCTGCCTTTTCGAAGGCATTTCTTTGCACAAACAAGCTCCCCAGTGGGACGTCCAATTTAGATCACTGTTATGCGTGAAAAAAAAAAAAAAAAGCAATTTTCATTATTGGCAAGTGATTCTCAATCAATGTCCTCCTTACTAAACCCCCCCCCCCCCCCCCCCCCAAAATAAAAAAAAAAATCGCGACTCTGATGGTTGAAATTCTTTACCCTTAAGACCCTTCCCTTGGAGTTTGAACATATGTTGTTTTACCCCCCGCGGATAAATCTTTCGTGCTTTAAGAAGACCAAAAGGAGTCAAACGATTGAAGTTACAATAGGTGCCCCTAGAGGAGGCTATCTAGTAGAAAGCATTCTCATGAGGAGTCTTTCAATGATAATATTCTGTGATGAAGTATTTGTAAACAAGTGCATCATTCATTTTTCTACATCCTTACATTCAAAAGAAAATTAGCAGTTCTTTCTATTTGGATGATTCTCATCAGTTGAGAGAGAACGAAGCCATGTGAAATCTGTTTTAAACTCTGCTACGATTTGTTTGAGAGTTTTCATGACTATGATTTGTTTGAGAGTTTTCATGACTGTCTTCTTCCTTATGGTGTCTCCTTTTCTTGTAGAAGATGTTTCCACTGATGTTGCAGAGAGAGCAGACGAAAAGCGCCCGGGTGCTATGTAGCTATCCGCGGGCTAAGAAGCCTCCTACTCCTTCGAAAAACCAAACTTTTATATAGCACTTATTTACTTACTTTATTGATTTTTTGATTCTTTTATGAAACACCTATGCTATGGCCGTTCGAAGCGGAGGTCGCAAGGGAATGAACATAGAACAGAAATCTCATTCTAATAAATGCACTGCTTTCCAACATTCTTATTCATCTAGAGTGAAACCCCGCGGTATTCGGGATTATGCAGTTGAAGTTGGTTGGCAACCCCGTTCATTTTGTTAACAGACGATTTTCACTAATAAGAGTCAGAGAAAAAGTGCTGATCCTTTTGTACCAGACAAGTACAGGCAAGGAAGGATGCGAAATTGCTATTAGGAAGGATTTCAACTCAAAATGCTTTTATTCCTTCTCTATGGTAGCAGATGAGCTACTCGACTCCAAGTTCCGCACCGGGTATGAGCGAAAGAAAGGCTTGTGATTCTTCAATTCAATAGATCAACCAATACGCATACTCTAGCAAGACTCAGACCTTCTTTGTGCATTTCCTTTTAGAACTTACAGAAGTCTCAATACACATAAGATGGAGAAGTCAGTTGTTAAAGTAAAGGTCAATCCTTTAAGTTCGGATGCAGTCTCCTTCAAGGAGCTCGCTAGCCATATGCTTAAGGTGTATGTTGATTTTCAGAATGATTGATGACTTTCATTCTTTTAAAGAATGCACTTTTCAGTCTCCGGGAGAGGCATTTGAGGCTTGCTTAAAACAATACCTTATTTGTAGTACTTTTACCTATGAGAAGACCCTTAAACTTGACATATCAGCCTAGGAAAGCTCTATTGGAGCATGCTGGCTCTTTTTACACTTCCAGGGATGAAGAAATGCAAGAATAGCATTTCAATTCAAAGAAAAGACACCAAAGAGTCTCATCTATCATGGTTTCAAGGTCGAGGTGAGAAGGAACTTTTGTGATTTCTTTGTGATTTCATAGTTCGATCTTAAAGGGCATGCTGTCTATGATGCGTGGACGAAGCCATCCTGGCAGTAGTGAGTCTATTGTGGGGAGACTAAAAAGCAGTTCCAGAACGTCCATCCCTTAGGAATCCTACACCTTTTTTCTCTCTTTGCGGATTCTGAACCCGTAGAATTGGAAGAGTCAGCACAAGATAAAACGTGATAGATCAGATTTCAACTGACATATGTGAAATGGTTCCTACTTTCCTTGTCTCAGTGCTTTCTGAAACTCCCAGGTCTCCCATCAGATATCAGATTTAGAGCACTAGAACCAAGCTCCTGGTGACAATTTCTAATAGTTCTCTTATTGATAAAACCATGAAAACAAGCCTAGCAAAAAGCACAAAAATAGAATTTAGAAAATTGGATTAAGTAACTAGTGGGTTTAGCCTCACCAGTTCATTGAAATTCAAAAAATTCTAAAGAAAGAGAGAACTATCCCAGTTTTGTTCTGATCGATTGAGAAGAGAAATGGATTGCTACTATCATCCTTCAAAAGTTGATTATCACATATAGGGGAGATAGTCTGTTTCTATTTGTGGATCAGACTTATTTAGACCTACCATATAACTTGAATCCATTTCAAAGCTCTTAGTGGCAATAAAATTTTACCCAAAAAATTGCTTGAGGCTAGGATTTCATAGGCTATTCAACAAAGCCCAAGATCCCAACTGCGGCAGGTTGGCTACACAAATCCTTTTTTGCCATTAGCTGCAGACCAGACCAAATCCTACATCAGATCATAAGCCATGATATTTTTCCAGCTTCAACTTATGTAATTTTTGGTGCAATTTAAAGTTACTGCACTATCTCTTACCAGGAATATCTTGGTGTGAGACTGCAAATTTCAGGATTGTATTCACGACGTCTGAGCCTTACATTTATCAACTACTGATTGTTACCCTCCTTTCAAATGATACTGTTAACCATTACTATTTTGTTTGAAATAGTAACCCCAAGGGGATGCAATTGTAGGTCAAGTACCCAACTTGACAAGGCTGAGGTCTTGGGTTTGATACTCCTCCTTGAGACCAACCTCGCATATATTTTCCCTTGATTACAATTAGCGTATGACAATGGGACCTGGCGCATGTCTGGAGGGGAATGGTCCCACCAAAAGGGTGTAGACAGCCACTCTAATCAACCCAAAAAAAAAAGAGTTGAGAAACAGTAAGGAACAGTGCAGAGAAAGAAGAAAATAAGGACAGAAATCAAGAAATACTGAAGAGCGGATGTTCTTTGTTATATTTTGTCCATAATAAGGAGAGGGGTGTAAATAACACAGCCCATAGAATTTACATAACATAAAGCATGTAGAAAGATCCAGCTGGAGTATCTTCTATTGATGTACGTAAATCAAATCAGGAAAAAAAAAAAAAAAATTAAATGGTATATTACAAAAAGAGTAATGATTTCTGAATCAAAATTCTCCATTGGAGTTTCAAGAGGATCATAATGTTAAGGTGAATCTCTAGTAAGAACAATAAGGCAGCCTTAGAACTCAAACATAGCATCAATATTGACATCATGAAGGAGAGAGAGATTCCTGTAATGGTCGGTCGCGTGCAATGAATGCCTCCAATTGCACCACTATGAGGGGACAACTCGACCCAAATGAATGGCTTTAATTGAAAAGGTCAATAGGTAACCATTACTATTTTGTTTGAAATAGTAACCCCAAAGGGATGCAATTGTAGGTCAAGCACCCAACTTGACAAGGCTGAGGTCTTGGGTTTGATACTCCTCCTTGAGACCAACCTCACAAATATTTTCCCTTGATTACAATTAGCACGTGACAATGGGACCTGGCGCGTGTCTGGAGGGGAATAGTCCCACCAAAAGGGTGTAGACACCCACTGTAGTCAACCCAAAAAAAAAAAAAAAAAGAGTTGAGAAACAGTAAGGAACTGTGTAGAGAAAGAAGAAAATAAGGACAGAAATCAAGAAATAATGAAGAGCGGGTGTTCTTTGTTATATTTTGTCCATAATAAGGAGGGGTATAAATAACACAGCCCATAGAATTTACATAACATAGAGCATGTAGAAAGATCCAGCTGGAGTATCTTTTATTGATGTACGTAAATCAAATCGGGAAAGAAAAATAAATAAATAAATGGTATATTACAAAAAGAGTCATGATTTCTGAATCAAAATTCTCCATAGGAGTCTCAAGAGGATCATAATATTAGGGTGAATCTCTAGTAAGAACAATAAGGCAGCCTTAGAACTCAAAGACAGCATCAATATTGATATAATGAAGGAGAGAGAGATTCCTGTAATGGTTGGTCACGTGCAATGAATGCCTCCAATTGCACCACTATGAGGGGACAACTCGACCCAAATGAATGGCTTTAATTGAAAAGGTCAATAGGTAATCTGTTAAGGAGTAATTACCAGTATTTATGGATACAGAAAAAAATGACTAGAAAAAGTGGCGTAGTAACTAGTGACACAGAGTTCTTGTAGCTGATCTCCATATAGATTGGAGACCCAGTGTAAAACATCTTGGAAGTAGTGCAACCATCAATTATGCACCGCTGAAAAATAATTCACTTAAAGGAGTTCAGAATCATGTCACTTTGTGAGCTTTGAAAGGTTGAAATTAGAATTGATAGTTTTAGACAAAAGAAAAACAATGAAGATTTTATACGAGTTTGCCCCAGAATGGCATTTAGTAATATTTGGAACAGTATAAGAGAACTGTTAGTTTTAGACAAAAGGATAAAGAAGTAAGATTTTAAACAAAGTATTTCACTATTCCTCAAAATAAGTGCTTTGCACATAATTGTGCATGCACTAATCAGTGTACACAAAAGAATGATTCACTGCTTGTCATAGTCAGCAGCATCCAATAAATTTAACTAATGAAATCAATCTGGAGATGTGGAATAATCATCAATCCTTTATTAGGTATAATTAACAAGATCTAACACTAACAAAGAAGAAAATTAAGTGCAATGGACTTCAAATCGATCAAACGAGTGAATGCCTCAATATCATACCTGAACATACTTCCGATTTAGTTGTTCTAACCAATCAATTTTCACACACACTCTGTCATCAGAGAAGACATGGCTGCTTCTTTTCAGGATGGCAGCAATTGTGTACCCTAAAGCCATCAAGCCACCAAGAAGGCGGACACTAACTTCAAAAGTGATTCTTGGTGATATGATAAATGGACTATCTGTAACCCATTCCTGAAAGCAGCAAGTAAAACAGTCAGGAGCAACATAGTTTTTAAAGGTAATTATTATCATGTATGTACATCTATAAGACATATGTCTAACAGATTACTTCGCAAAACTCAAACCATGAAGATAGAATCATAGAACATGTAATAAATCTTATCTGCTGCTGAACAACGTATACACTTTAGGCCTTTGATAAGATTATTTGCAAATGTAATTTTCCTCCTCTTTTTTTTTATAGTTTTGGTCGTTTATGAGTTTGATATACAATATTTGGCTCATTCCTTAACAGCTTAAAATTTTGGAGCAACTTGTTATCTAACATTTACAAAAGCTTTGACTTTTGTCGATCCTGGTTTCAAGTCATTTGAAGGTATTGGCTTTTCAGTCTATCCATTTGCATCTGTTCCCCAATCCTATTTGCCTGTTTGCGCTCCATTATATCATGTCTGTCGACACTCCACTTGTGAGGGGGGTTGCACGTTAGGGAGGGTGTGTCAGCTTGATTAACATCGAGTGGCTTATTGTCTAACAGCTAAAAATTTTTAGGAGAAGTAGTTGTTTATGAGGAAAAAACTATATGATGTCATCACAACCTTTTAAGCTTTTCTAGATATGCTCTGCAGCAAGCTCCACTTTTTCAAGTGTTAAACCTTCCATGTTTACATGGACACCATGTATTGTCCAAATTTCAAAGTAAATCTCTTTAGGAAGCAGAACCAAAGTTTTGTCAATTGTCTAAGTGGAAAATGTCAATTGCCATTGCAGAATGTCAAAGTTGTAAAATATTCTGAATGAAATACATGAAAAATACCCAATTAATAGAAAAAAGGAGAGACAGAGAGAGAGAGAGAGAGTGTGCGCGTGTGTGTGTTTGTTTGGGATGAAAACAAATTTCTAGCCATATAAACTAGTGGTTAATACTTTTGATAATGACCAACGTTTAAATAAAAAATCAAAAGGGCAAAAAAGAAAAGATAAAAAAGAGGCTTTATTTTGATGTAACAGTAGACTCTTCCACGATCCAGTAAATGGATCTAGTTTCTTCAATCAGAAATGGTACAAAGCAAAGCCAGGAAGTTAATAAAAGTTTTCATCAGTGCATTTGAATGGAAGTATTGATGGTGAATGCAATGTAAGTTTTTCTGACTGGTTGACTGATAGAAAAGAAACGGTCTGGAGAGAAGAGAACAAAATAGGAACTGGGAAATTCAACAAATTTATTAAGCTGTAGCATCAACTAACACCACTACAGTATGCACACAGGTACCTGCTTCTGCTACAGGACAGTAAGATAGCATTTAATTGGTGAGATGTTTACGCTTGCATAATAATTATGTAACATCTTCAGTTAACCCCAATGAGCAGTATTTCTATGGACCAACCAATAGTAAAAGAAAAGATAATATCAACATCACAAAGAACATAAGATCTATATTCCCAGCAGAAATATATAAATATATATGCGTGTGTGAGTGTGTGTGTAATTATATATAAATTATTATTCTCATCAAGGTTAGCAAGCTATAATTCCAAATGAGACTATCTCGATAAATAAGCTTAAGTTTTCAATGGCCGAACCTCAAACATGAGATTGTATTTGCCATCCCTGTTCCTCATCCTTAGATATGATTGGCATGCTTCAGGATCTTCACCTGGTGGTAGTAGATATATATCATATGTTTCCTCTGTAGTTTCCTTGTGTTCTTCAGAAAAAACAGCCTTGATTTGATCTACAGTTAGGGACCTTGTTGACTACAGTAACAGAAAGCACTCATTCAGTGATACAGATAGAAGACAAAATGTCAGACCAAAACTTGTGATAGAGCCTTGTATATATTAATTTAGATGTTAACCTTTAAAATGTACGTGGGATTCTGAAAACCAGAGAATGGATTGAACTTGTTGGTAATTTTTATATGTGCCGTTTGTAGATCTGGCTCAATAAAAGCCTTGTACATAGGATATACCTGCATGAAAGAATGACCGTGAGAACTAAATTAAAAGCTTCAAAAGTCTACTTGAAAATTATTGAGACAACTTATTCAATATAATTTTAATGAAACGTAAAAAATGTTAGGTGAGAAGAAACCGTTTCAGATATTTGATGGATTATTTCTTCAGGCTCTTGTCCAGCACGTTGAATGTCCCTTAAAACCCGTTTGACAAGGTCAAAGTGTACTCCACCAGTAACAGAGACTCGAAGATCAAGGAAAGGCCGTAATTTTTCACTCAAGGCATATATGCCTTCAATAATCACAATCCGGGAGCTGGGTACTTCAATTGTCCTGTTAGAATAATATATTTGGTTATGATACATGACTACTAGACTGAGAATGTTGAGGTGGATGATTGGAGTGACTAGAAGAGATAAATTTGCTAATCAAAGTGTGAGTGTTCAATTAGGAGTAGTGTCTATTAGTGATAAAATAAAAGAAAGCAAGCTTAGGTGGTATGGATATATAGAATGTAGACCTGTAGATGCACCAGTAAAAAGGGAAAATTAGTTCATATAAATTTATAAAGGTAAGACATACCAAAACTAACATGAAATGAAGTAATTAAAAATGACTTTAAAAAAATGAACATAAGAGGAGAAATGGCATATAATATAGTAGAATGGAAAAAGATAATTCATGTGGCTGACCCCATTTTTTTGGGAGAAAGGCAAGGATTATGATGGGGATGATGGTGACGACATGAAAGGATTATGATGGGGATATTGATGACGACATGAGCACTAGACGATTAATTGAACCCTTTGCTAAAACATAAAATAAATATACATTGAACTAAAAAAATTAACTCACAAGTGAAATAACAGTTCATGATACTTGGACATGAACAGCATAAGACACATTCCTAGAATGGTCTATTATTTCTAAGGAAGATTTGAAAACCCCGACTTTTGTGCAAATTTTTTTTTATTAAATATGGGGGTGTTCTTCCTCTCATAAGGGGGGAAAGGAATAATGACTGTCAGACTGAAACAAATTCACTAATTGGTTGATAAGTATTCAGCACTTAACAAAGAGAAACTTTCCCAAAATGTACATAAAGCAAATTGTGTTAGGTACATTTGGGGAAAAAAATTATGTTAGGTACACATGCATAGTAGATAAATATAATAAACTCAAAAATAAATCCAAAGTGGGGGGGGGGGGGGGGGGGGGGGCATATAAAAATTAGATAATACACACGTAAGGTAAAGGCTATGTAGACTTGGCAAAAAGAAAAACCACATATAAGCAAAAAGAGTAACTAATATAGAAGTAATATACTTGCCAAAAAGAAATAGAAGGATCATTCACTGCTTATTATTCATTTTAATCATCAACAAATGTCATGTTAATTGCACCGACATGTACAGGTAGCAAAAATTGAGCTCGTGAGAACAGCCCACAGATAACACCCGCCCCCCCCCCCCCTCCTCTCTTCTTCCCAAAAGAAAAGAAAAAAGAAAAAGATTAAAGGAACACACACACTCACTAAGAAAGAAAATAAATAAATTCCAGCTTAGCAAGTTTCAGTGATTCCCAACCTGTACCCTATGCGGGAGCTAGACTTATAGTCGTATATAGGAACTTGAGCCGGATTCCCTTCCTTCAGACTACGAATATTCTCGAGCAATGTATCATAATCCGTCAAGCGTGGGTCTGTTTCAAAACAAACAAGTTATTAGAGTTCTACGAAGCTTCCTTATATCATTCATCATTCATCTGAGATGGCAGAGTTCAAAAATCTCTGGTCACTGGAGAACCAGGAAATAGCAAAACACACTTCATTACAATTTTTCAGAAGGGTACAACAAGTAGAACTGCATAATATCCATATCATCACCATCCCTTTCCATGCAAATCTGCATTTCATTACTCGCGTGTATGCTAGAATATTGTTCATTGAACTTTCAAGTCTTATGTAACATAATAACAGAATGGCAAAAGCAATAATGCAATAAAATGATGTCATCCATGGAAAGGAGGTAGATTATGGCCACAAATTCAATGTACATGAGAGTGCAAGTCATTGGCAATTTCTACTTAGTGAATTAGCTTAGGATTTTGTCTTTTTGTTTATTATTTTATTTTCTGGTTGTACGTTATTTTCGATTTACATCTTGTTTGCCAATTTTATTCAATGGTATTTTCCATATAATGACAAAAGGTTAGGCCTGTATCCAGTCTGTCCCTCGTAGCACCCTTGTTTAATGGGAAGGACCACACTTGGTAATGATCTTTACCTTATGATACGAGGGGTGTTCGCATTGTTACTAAGTGGTCACATGCTCAGCGCATGACTACCTAAGTATAGACAACTCTAGCTGAGGTTCAAGACACTATAGATTTAAGAAATATAAGGGTTGAATCTTATTCTTAGGCTAATATGCTTATATTGTGGTTCTGGTTCATATCCTCCATAAATTATGCATTGACCCTGATGGTGAGATTTTAGACATCATTTTGTGAGAAATGACGCTGCTGCACACGATTCCTTCCCTTTCTTCCTTTAACTCCTGCTCTTTCTAACTCTCCCTTCAACTGTCATCTTCCTCCCCGGTGGCTTGCACTGGAGAACGTTGGTGTGGTTCAGTGTATCTGCTGCACACCTTTGTGTGCTCAATACACTTGGAAATCTGCTGCATGCCCTCCTTCCAAGTAAGTTTCCTCTCTTCTTCCTTTCTTACCTATCTCATTCAAACTTTTCCACCCTCAATTCTTTCAACTTCTACCCTCACCAGCCTTGGTTCCATCATCCTTTTATTACAATACTTTGCTAAGGTTTCTAGTCCGTCTAATCTGTTTAAAGGCTCTCTCAACTCATTTCACACCCAATCTTGTTCATGCATGTCTCGTACTGAACAATAATTCCTCTAGGTTAGCATTAAGACTTCATCCAGCTGGTGGTTTTTATATATTTGACATTACTTCAGATTGCTACCATCATTGGATTTCCATTTTTAAAGTTACTAAATTCTTTGGGACTGTTATTGATCTTGAACACCACTGTATCTCATCTTCAGGAACAAACCAGCCCAGCTAAAATAGACCAGCAACAGGTTGATGGATGCTTTGGAAGCTCTAACAACAATTGTTAAATTTTGATCAAAACTTCAATACTGTTATTGAGCACTGCTGGAAGCTTAGTAATTATTTTGGATGGTATTGATAGGGGAAAAGTGAAGTAAAGAAAATAAACAATAAGAGCAAAAGACAAACACAAAGAGTGAATGTGGTTAACCTACCAATGGGGATACTTCCACAGCCAAATATAATAAATTAATTCATTATAATCTAAAAATATAAACACTACAAAGAAGAATCCACCAAGTATAGAAACTAAAAACCCTAAGAATATAAAAACCCAAACTTTCTCCACTGTCACAGTAACTTTCAAATCTTTGTCTCACCAGAAACCCCACACTTAACCTCCATTTTATAAAGCCCTGACAAAATTCCTTAGTAAACAAGGAATATAAAAAATCATTTCCCCAAAGAAAACCCAAAAATTAGATTTCCACCTGAAAAAATAACTCTAAAATAGGAAACCTGAAAATGATAAAATATGAGACAACTGTCAACCCAAGCAGCAAAGTATCAAACTTTTTAATCAATCATCATGTCTGCATGCTTCTCCTCCATTGCTAACAAATAATTAGCAGCACCTTGATGAAATCTTTCCATATATTCTGAGAGATTTCATTCATGTATAAATTTCTTGAAGCATGCAACAATGACATGGCTTTGACATACATCTTTCTTTTTCTTTTTCTTTCTTTTGTGGGTGTGTGTGTGTGTGAGGGTGGGTGGGTGGGTGGAGACACACATACTACGCAATTGTTGCCCTGAAAATTTTGGACAAATGACTTAAAAAGGATATAATGTTCGCTTTTGGTGAATGATTGGGGTTTGATTCAACTACAATTCCAATTATTGTCCAATTGTTTTAAGAACAATCACCATCTGTAGATTACTTAAGGGACCTCTTGAATTCACAAAGGTTGATTATCTAAAAAGCATTGGACAAAAATTGGAATCTGAAAGGACCTTTGCCCAAGTAATCGTCAACCTAAAACTCAAAGATTCACTCCCCAACTGCGAAGCTATTCATCACCTAAGTTATAATAAGCAAATGTTCTTAAAGAAAAGCCTAATTTAAATAAACTCCTCTTTTGATTTGTCCTTTGATTCCAATAACCAACTATTTTGCCATAACAAAACAATCAAACTTGGTGCTCTAATAAAACGAAGTTTGATTAGCAGGGAAAATGTGGAGCTGAAATAACACACTTAGAATGCTTTTTAAAATACTTTTAAAAGGATTACATTATGGTTGCAAAAAGATTCCTTGTGGATTAAATACTCAGTCACATGTGTAAAGGGATCAAATTCAAATTTACCCATTTGGTTATGAAAAGTAGTAACCTTATTGATAGAATTTACATATTCTTGAACTATACATTTTATAATAATTGGTTGAATTAACTATACTACTGTAAATGCAGCTATGCAACTTCTTGTAAGAAACAAAAGCAGTTGTTGCCCATACACTTTGCTTTATATTCAATCAATTTTTAAAAAGTAACATGTGGAAAGTCCACGGATATTATCAAGTCATGTTTGTATTCCAGATGAATTATAAGGAAGAAATTTCTCCTGAATAGAGAAAAGCTTAAGAAAATACCATTTCAATTATATGTGTGTATGTGCGCGCGCGCGCCAACCAATCTACTTATCTGAAAGAGGATCTTAACAAGAACCAAAAAATAGAAGGAAAAAAATAAAAAAATAAAAAAATAGAAAATTTACCATCAAAGTTCCCATCAATAATACGACTGGAATCATTGTAATTGTCCATATTTATAACAGCAATGCTGGGCATGAAGTTGAGCACCTTCTCAGTAAACACAGTCTTCCCTGCCCCCGAGGGACCCGCCACTCCTACTAAAATTATCCCATCATTCTTTTGAGACAACAACTGGCATGCACGGATTACTATAAAGAAACCCTTCTCAAATGACAGAAAACCTTGGATCGGGACAATCTCATAACGATCAGAGTCCTTTCTTTTAACCAATTGGACTTGATCTCGTAGTAGGCCAGATCGTCGCCTAGGTGAATCAGCAACAGAAGATGTATCCAAAGCCATAAAGCTGGAAATATGATATTCCCCAAAGCTGCCAAAAAGGTACATTTGCAATATACTCAAATGTTAAAATATTTGTAGCAAAAACAGTAATAAAATAGCAGTACTCCAGACATACTTTTCAGAGAATGTGTTGCAAATATTCTTTTAGCAAGTGTTGATAGCTTCAAGGGAAAAATAATTATGTACTATTTCAATTAACCAAATTTTGATGTGGCTTTTGGGCTAAGAAAAATGCAAAGGATGGATGTCATATGTAACATCCACAAAATGAATGATAGGCCCCATCCACATGAACCAAAGACAACCAGCATAACTGTAAAATTGATGGGAGGTTTTTGATAAACTGTCTAAGTTCTTACAATTCCAGGAAAAAACAGACTCCTAAGGATCAGATGGTTCGCGATTATTAGGAATTGTACACATGAAAGTAATTGTCAGTATTAGGGTGTAGACGCCACTATTTTTCACATTGTTGCTCTAATTTGGAAAGTTAGAGAGTTTAACAAATATTTGTCTCCATAGCAATGCCTGTGTCATTGTACTTTTCAGGAGTAAAATCAACAAAGCTTCAATGTCATTTAATCCAATTACAAGTTAGCATTCAAAATCAAATTGTAATTTAGTATATAAAAGAAAATTCACATTTGAAACGAATTTCCCAAGTTCCATTTAAGTTATCTAATTAAACAAAATCTAAAAAAAAGTCTAGTATTGTGTCTCTTCATTCATCAAATACCGTATTCACTAGCTCTGTTGAAGAGGAGGAAGGAGATAAAATACATAGTTATCCAGGATGGTGGATTACAGACATGGAAACCAGATATAATTACATATGTATAAATCTACTAATTGTGTCAAACTATCATAGTCAACCCCGTGAAATGCAGTAGTCAAACTAGCATGACACGTGGCATGATGGTATGAGGTCATCTAGCAAGATAGGTTGACAAGTAGCAGCATGTATTAAACAACAAATGGCCTACCTATTAACCAGGTGAGAGTTCAACAACAATTAATACATCAATTCAAATTACAGGAGTGCTGCTATGCTTGTCCTTCCCTCAATGCCATTGCCATAATATTGAGCTTACCTCACGGAGATGGCTGCAGGGGGTTTAAATGAAGCACTCGAGTATGTTAAATTATTGTCCTTCTCTCTCTCTCTCTCTCTCTCTCTCTCTCTCTCTCTCCATTCTCTGAAATTTCTCAAAATTGTTACAGTCTAAGAAATCATGAGCACGCGATAGGCTTGTCTGAGGATGAAGATCAGTGGATGATTTTGGAAATTGGCAACAGAGACAGCAGTTCCTTGCATTGGTGAAAATGGCATTCAGTTCGTTGAGTATAGATGCCAACTCGAGTCACGCCCAAGCTTGCCCAAAACAATATCAAGCTGAGCACGGCCAAACACGAGCCGGGCCCGAACACGTTTCTAACTTTGGCGAGCCGAGCCCGAACAACTCAAAGATCGGCTCAGCTGGGCTCATTTGCAGCCCTACCGAGGGAAGGCTTAGCTGCAAAGGGGGTCTACCAATTTTAGTATCCTTTCAACAGAAGTCTTGTCTCTCTTATGAGTTATAATAGAAATGGTGAAATCAAAGAAAATAATTGTAGAATTGTTTCAGTATCCGCAGAAAAAACATGTGAACTTGCCTATAAGCAGGCTTGAATCTAATGTGGGAGTCAGAAGTCTCGTTTTGAATTCTCTTCAGAACCCCTCCTATCTCAATCATTCTGATATGCCTACTTAGAACTCACCCTGCAAAACAATGTGTTACTGTGGCCACCACCACGGAGGCAGCTAATTCACAGTTTTGTACACACTAATTCACAACTTAAGTACTCGCAGTGAATCATTGATTGACCATTATTCTGTGAGCTAGAATTAATGGCAAAAAATCTGAGCGTAATATTTTGACAGACTAGCCACTTGCCATAAATCACTTGATTAGCTGCACTTGCAATCATAAATCACTTTAGTAATAGCAAAAAATCAAGCATTTACTTCTAGGTTTAATTATTTAAATATTGGTACTTGCCTGGTATTGCCAAAACTGGGAGAAGGATGATCCATTATAATACAATATATATACCATCAATGTCGTGGGAAAAGCACAGCCTAGTACAGGAACATTCTTTAACGGTAATGCCCATCTGTATCCTCTAATTCTTAAAACCTTGGGCATATAACAAGCACACATGCAAACCTAAATTTTCGCCATGGTAAAAAAAATGCAATCAATCTAAAGAAATCCAAACTCCCCTTCATTGGAATAGTTCGGGTGGAGCAACAAAAGACAAGTCTACCATTGTAAAGATCGAATCCTAATGCTCTATTATGGCCCGTTTGGTAGGAAGGAAGGTGAAAGGAAAGGAAGGAGGGAAAGCGGAGGGATGAGAAGAGTTTCCAACATAGGTAGGAAGAGAAGGTGGATGAAACTGGGAGGTAAGAGGAGGAGAAAAGCACCAATGCTCTGGGCCTATCATAGTTTTTCTACCCAAAAGTAGGCTAGTAAAGAATGTGTTCCTTCTCTCCAAGCCTCAGCCAACCCCTTTCCCTTAATTTGTCAGCATGTTATAATAAAAGAAGTAACATCTATTTCCTTCCTTCCTACTCAAACGAATATTATGCATTCAGCATACCTCATACCTTCCATTCCTTTTAGTTTTCCATATTCTTAAGAGTTTAGCATTAGAGGGAATAAAATTTTATTTCAAATTTATGGTCCTTCAATATATGGAAGAGATTGATGAAAGAAAAATCAAAACAGTAAGCCTAATAAGAACTATTTGACTTTATTAATGACTTCTGTATTATTTTGAATGCCAAAAGAACATAAAATTCATGATTCAAAAGCTTCTTCTCTCTCATTTTCTGTTCAGACGCCTCCTTCAATTTGAATAGCCCCATTCACCTTTTGCTGAGCATTAAACTTTTTTTTTTTTTTTCATTTTGAGTGGAAATATTTTGAACTATAGGAGTCGTATCAGCATCACAGTTTGAAATCATAATATTTTTACTATTATTATTTCAAGCAAAACCTAAAAATGATGAAATGTTGTAAGAAATCTCAATTTTTACTAATTGAGCTCCATATAAGAAGATAGATATCTACATCACAATGAAATGTCCAATGTAAATAGGCAAAAGAGACTCCAACAGACCCTTAGTAATATAGGGGAACTTAACAATATTTTCAGTAGAAGAAAAGAGGGATAACAAAGAGGGAGGAATGGATAGACTTTCCATTATTTGGGAGGAAAGAACCCAAAAGGGAAGGAGATAGGTGGGCAGGCCCCACCTTCCAAACATACAATATTTGCTCCTTCTAAAAGTGGGAGGAAAGGAGGGGAAAAGAATTACCACACACTCCTTTTTTTTAAATACATTTTTGCTATTTGCTCTTGAAACAGTACCATTCATTTAAAATGTAATATTCTTTCTTCCTTTCTTCTCAACCAAACAAAATGAGGGAAAAGTCATCCTTATTTCTTACCCTAAGGACACTTTCTCCACCCCTCCTCTCTTCCTTCTTTCCAATTTTTAATTTCTTGTACAAAGTTGAGCATAAAGGTATGAAGAACTAGAACATAAGTTTACACTCCAACTTCTGTACAATAATAACTAAAATAAATTCCCAAGTAGTCTTTCTCCTAGTAAATTTGTGAGTTTCCCAAAAAAATTAAACCCATAAGAGCATTTTCACAGTCATGATTAAGTGTATGAAATATCCATAACCAACGTAATAAAAATTAGCCACATCAAATGCATAGGAGTAATTATAACGACAAGAAATAAGAAAAAATAAATAAATCAAGAACAAAAACTGCACACAACTGGAACAACCAACTGAGATAACAGGAGAAAAAAATATCAAACTAAAGTTTCAATCACAAGAACTCTGCAACTGATCAGTTACATGTATGGAATAAATGAAACCAAAATGAAAACGTACAAACTCAGACCAAATAACAAACCCAAACAGCAAATGCCCAGAAAACGAATCCAACTACACAGTTACAAAATAAAATTTCACACACAACCAGCTAAAAATTCAAGATAGAAAAAGAAAAATAAATCACCCATTGAATGATCCCAAGTGTTAAAACTTACATTAACAACAAAATCAAATAAAAGTAACCAAGATACTGAATTCGCACATGCACCAAATGGGATTGCAGAAATCACCATGAAACTGATACATATATATGCATACAGAGACGTGTATATGTGTTGTGTGAAGGTAAAGATTCTCAGAGAAAAAACCTTGAGAAATCAGTCTGCCCAATTCCGGCCCCGTTTGAAAATTCAAGTGGACAGTGGCTTCTGAGAACTTAAAAATGTGATGGTCTCGAGATTCTTGAGGTTCTCTGCAAATGGGTTTTGCGTGAACAGGGCAGAGAGAGAGAGAGAGGGGCAACGTGTTGGAACAGTATTGGGTTGTCAGATGGATTTGTCTTTTACAGAAGACGTCAATGGGTTACGGTCCTTATCAGTTATGGAGGCGATGATGGCACGAGGATAATCTTGTCTTTCTCTGTTTTAGCTCGATATTTATAGTTTTTTTTTTTTTTTTTTTTTTCGTTTTCCAGAAGATATTTATAGGTTGTACTTGCCCATTTCAGTAGTAATAATATCCAAATGATAATAAAATCACACAGATAGTGCTAAAAAAAATAATAATAATAATCGCGCCGATAAAAAACAAATATTTATATATGGGGAGAATTGAGTATATTGGACGCTTTGCAAATTCACTGTTTCATTCGGGGTGAACAAATTTTTAAGAGTATTTTTTTAACCCATGTTAACAAATAAATATATATGGAGTACTATATACTATATTGTATGTCACACAATTCAATTTAAATAAAATGAAGGAAAGCATGAGCGGGCCGAGTTATTTTAATAGGAAACGGATTAGCGCATGGCACCTGGCGTTTTTGAGGCAAAAAAAAATTAAAATGATAGCGTATCTTTGCAATGATAAAAAATAAATTCGTGAATCTGACTTGACTTAGATCTAGACTGTTTTAACCCATCCAGCACAATTAGAAGTAAAATAAAAATTGGAGTGCGAGTTAGATTCGTGACCACTTCTAGTAGGGGAGAGCTAGAATTTAAATTCAGAGTGCACAGAGAGAATTTTTTTTAAATATATATATAAGAAAAAGAAAAAGGAAAAAAAAATGAATTTTGAAATAAACAAATTATAGCATGATTAAATAAGAAAAATTTAACCTTTTTAAAAAGATAAGTAAAGAAATTTAGAGAGTAAAAGAAAAAAAAAAATTTAATTGAAAACTAATACTTTTAGGAGGCATAATATACATATTTATATATCTATACTATTATTAAATGTGCAAAGTGTTTTAATATTTCAATATTTATTTTTTAATTGATATAAATTCTATAAAACTCAAAATTACCTAATAAAATTGAAATTAATTCAAATTAACAAAATATAAAGAGAGTTTAATTCAAATTACAAAATCCCACATTGATTTTAAGTAAAAAGGACTACATGAAAGTCTCTTATAAAAATATAAAGCTAAAGAAATAATAATCACACCTTCTCGACCTTTTGGCTAAAATCAAGTATAGTACTAAATTTTTTTGGGTCGGCCTTTTAAAGAGCTCCCATTAATTATAATATCCCGTGATATATAGAATAGTATATCAGTATCTAAATAACCTAATAAAATTAAAATTAATTCAAATTAACAAAATATAAAAAAAGTTTAATTTAAGTTACAAAGTTCCATATTGGTTTTAAGTAAAAAAGACTACATGAAAGTCTCTTATGAAATTATAGAGTTAAAGAAATAATAATCACAACATCTCAGCCTTTTGGCTAAGATCAAGTGTAGTACTAAATTTATTTGGGTCGGCCTCTTAGCTAACCTTTCTTGGGGTTTTGGCTAAGATCAAGTGTAATACTACTTTCTCGGCCTTTGTGCAAAGAGTTTCAGTATTTATTTATTAATTGATATAAAAACTACATAATAAAATTTAAATTAACCTATTTATCTATTTATTATTATGAATTTTTTAATAAAAGAAAATCTAATTAGACAAAAATTATTAATATAAAAAATATTTATTAATTAATATATAAAATAAAATAATTTTTTTAAAACTTTACCACAAATTAGCTTTTATTATGAGTTTCTTAATAAAATTAAATCTAATTAGATAAGCATATATTTAAAAATAAATAAAATTATTTCTATAAAACTCTATTATAATTTACCTATTTTATCTTCAATAAAACTCTATCAACAAAGATATATTTAAAGAGCTTCTATAAAACTCTAACACGAATTACATATTTATCTATTTATTATGAGTTTTTTAGTAAACGGAAACCTAATTAGCCAACAATTATTAAAATAAAAAAAAATTATTAATTGATATAAAAATAGTTTTTAAAATAGTTTATATTAAACTCTAACACAAATTACCTATTTATTTATTTATTATAAG